AACGTAAGAATTAAAATAAAATTTGGCAGCTTCTCAAGTGTTAGACGATAAAGTTGACTGACAATGTGTTAATAAGTTTCAGATACAATTAAAAATGTTAGCATGAGAAATAAGCTCGTGCTATCAAGACGTTATTCATGTAAAATTTATAACTATACATGCAAACCATCAAACTATGTCTTAACATAAATTAAATTCTCACAGAAATATTGTAATTGTGCAAAATTAATAGATGTTAGCGAATAAAAAAGATTGATCAAGTTCTTAGTCAGGAACGAAATAAATCGAAGTTTTCAGCCTTGATAGTTCTTACACTAGTGATCAGATGAAGTGTAATACATCACTTTCTAGAAAACATACATTGATGTATTTCTCTTTTTCTTGTGTAGATCATACTGTAAACTGCATATTGTACGCTAGTAATAGTAGTAAGCGTTATGTCATCCTAGGATGATCAATTGAAGAAACATAACTTCCTAAAATAAAATTCCAAATGATAAAATACCAATTCTAATCTTTCTAGAATTACATTAACGAATAAATTATACTGTATATTTACGTAAGGCAAGCTTCATCTTCAAAGGACAGCCAGCTAATAATTCCCAAAGTATAAAGACAATTTGAATATTTTTCGTGAGAGCCTTACAGGCTGATTACGTGCACGGAATGCTTAAAAATAGTAAAATAAAGAGAAGAGATGTTTCCCAGACAATTATAACAATACATAGAGAAATTATGACATGAGTAAACTTGCTGCTTAGTGATTACTGCTAACAATACGTAAACGATCATCTGACCCTGACGCTGTAACGGCTTCTCTACAGTGTGTATGTACTACTATCAATAATAAATTCTTTAAAATAATATTCATAGCCAAGAATATCAATTCACTAACAATATTATCACAAACTTTTTGGATTAAATACCAATTAATATTTCATAGATTTTCCTTTAATCAAGAAAAGGTAGCATGCCAATCTAGATAGATTGTACGTGTAAACAATATCTGATAAAAACTTCTGTAAATACTTTGCGTTAAATAAGCAAAGAAAGTTTACTGAAAACATACTAAGCTGTCGCAATAAATCCTATACAGACTATAGGATTGAACAGGTCAAATTATTGACTATCTACTACTGGTACAAATTACTAAAGAACTTTTTGCTCACTCTCAGTGAGATGATCTTTGTCCAGTGTTAAATAGCTTATTGTTTCTGGTCGTCGTTTATGCTAAATTAACAACGTGACTTTCTAATGTTGTTAGAGGCTCCATGAGTACAACAGCGATGTAATTTTTTTCAATTAACTACTTAAAGTATCTCACTAATATACATAATCGAATAAAAATGTTGTCTTACTTGGATTGAGGCATTATCGAACAACTACGGCTGGATACCAATTTCAACTGAATAATTAGTTGACCTCGACATAAAATAGCGCCAACGGTATGAAATGACAATCAAACCAACGAAAGCTTGCTGCAATCCTGTAGACTGAATTTTACTATGATCAAGTGATAAATAAATTAATTAGAGCATGTCTGAACTTTAGACTGGTCGTTAGTTATAGTCTAAAGTAAAACATCCAGATTACATAACTGTTGACCAGTTCTCTAAGGCAAATTTGCACAACATGTTAATAAATATTTCACAAATTAGAAGCTAAACGCTGATTTATTATTAAATAAAAAATGAACTTCATAACAGAAAATATTGATCCTTATGATCTCTTTGATACCGATATTTGTCTCCATGATTAAATTTAGTAATTATCTTCAAGAAATAGACTCGTATACCTTTTCATTGTATTCAGACACTAAAAATGTGATTATAGCTCAAAATTCACAGCGACATTTGATAAAGCAGTTTTGATCGTGAATGCAGCAGAGTAGTGCCTTTGTGTAAGAAAAAATTATTCACACCAATTAATAGAATCTAGTTTAAAATTATTATACACTTATTGGCACTACCATACAATACGAGTACTCTAGAAGCTCACTACGACATCAAATTAAAAACTATATCAGCTTTCATCTATTTAAATTCGCATATACGTCGATTTTGATGCTTCATAAATGTACAGTACGTTTATCTCTGCTTTTCATGATCATAATTATCAACCTTTACTCACAATTGTTAGTACATCCATAATTATTAAGTTACCTTCTCCGATATTGCAATAACTTCTTATCAATTCTTTTATCGTATACTTTGTTACAATGAAATACACCATTTTAAAGGCATGAACAGCATTCATAGCTGTAAAGATAAAATTAATTACAAGCGTAATAAGAAAGTGGTAACCCTACATCGGTTAATGTATAAAGCTACAGAATCTCATAAGAATCGTTTACTAACGAAAAATGGGAAAAATTTATGTTTTCCTCAAACGAATTAGTGGAAAAGTTCATTCAGTTGCATAATACACTCAATAGTATCATTGAATGTTAACTTTTCAAAATGAAATGTTTTATATAGCAACGATGCCGAATATTAAAGAGTTTTTTTTATAAAGAATGATCATAAAAAATTTATGCAAGATATTACTAGCGTTCTTCTAAGCTCAAATTATAAAACTTTAAAAACAGTTTAGTTATTGTACTCTTAAGGTATAAATCTTACCTAGTTCTATTTTCTTTGCTAAAATATTTCGGTCCATTAAAGACACTTTTTCATTGCCTACATGTTAATATACTTATCGAAAAATTAATTAATGTACAACTTAAGAATTTTCATTCACCTTTATTTATATTACTTCGCTATCTTGATTAGGCCTTCGAGGTGATACTGTAAGTAATTCCTAACTTAGATTGTAATTTTAAATTAAAGAATACCATGTTTAATTACAGTAATGCATTGAGTCTTTTAATTAACGGCAGCTAAGTAAATATGTGATCACCAAAAACAACCGATTTCGTACCAATTGTAACCATCATTCTCTTTAGTGAACATCGCAACCCAATCGTACTTTAATCATCTCGACGGCCGGAATCTAGTGAATAATGATCATGATCGATGCACCCAAATTGTATGATATTTGCACTTAGTAAATCAGCGATATTGTCAATATTAAACTCACTCATACTCAAGCTACTTCGGTTTGATTTAAGATTTCAGCCAGTGTATTGAGCATTAACGTTCTAAGATAGTTTCTCGCTATGATTTGTTAGAAAGTGAAGTAGTTTAAATCTTCTGGCTGCAAGACTGAAAAAATCTATGAATTTACGTTAGATAGCTCCTACAAGTCGAGTATATGTATGGTAATTGTCGTATATGTTAATGTAAGTAATGATTTTTCGTAATTGGATAATCACGGTTCGTCATTGAACATTACTTGTGTTGAAAACGTGAAATAAACATTTTCTAGCGGTAAATGCATAGAATAGCTGCTATAGGGCTATTGCACAGTAATAATGACTATCGAATGAAGATAAACTAACACTATAAGCAAACAGACCAATCATAAAGAAGATATTACACAACTTAAAGCTGTCTTATATTATGATACAGGACTAGCATTGTACAATTATAGCTGCAAACAATAGAGCTAGTATACGGTTCATTAGTTGACATTATTTTTCGTTGATATATACATGAGCCGTATAAATATTCAGCACAATACAATCATTTATATACAGTATATACATTACCTTAGTCAGTTAGATATTGTAATACAACTTATGTTTAATAAGAATTTACATGAAAATGAAAATGAACTAGAGCGCACTACAACGTACCGCGTTTACTCATAATAATTTATAATAGAGCGCTACTACGGGTACATATGTAATCGAGTAATTTTTTGTAACAGTAAGTGTGCTGCTTAGACTATATTTGCAACTTTCCATGTCGGATCGCACAATTCGGTCTTAGCAGTAATAAATTCACAACCATTTTCCAAGTTTCAAACATGGAAAGAAAAGAGAGTAAACTAACCTGACCAGCTGGATTCAAATTAAAAGTGTAGTTTATTTTGCTATGACACTCGTGGTTTTATATTTTCAATTTGCAAATTATACAACAGGTGGAAAATGCACGCGTAAGTTCCATCTATATCGACACAGGATTATTGAAAAAATGAACAACAGATGGATTATTATATTACATACGAAATATGTCAGTCTAAGAAATGAAATTGTACAGTGATATCAATATGTCTGTTAAGGTAATTTAACGATAGGTAGAAAGTAGTAAAATTTTTAATATATGATCTATGATACGCATATGTTAAATAAATATTATTTATATACTTTTTTAAGTTGTTCTAATAACCAATTGTCTTATTGGATTGCAATGACTATATTTTCTATACAAGTTACTACCTAAACACCATCCTCAATTTTAATTACTACGATCAGACCATATCGGAATAAAAATTAATTATTACAATCTTTTCTAAAGAGAAATTTGCGTTTTACTCATATTGATTCCCCAATAGAGTCTTCAATTACAAATATATAGCATAGGTTTTAAGAATATAATCGATATTTTATAACATTTGCAGTACTACAGGATAACTTAGCAAGTAATATTAGAACAATAATAGTATTCAGAAGAGAAGAAAGGTTTCTTTGTGAATATTTTCATTAATTGTAAAATTTAAAGCGCGGACATTTAAAACGCTTTAATCGAGTAAACTTTAGTTTAGAGTAAGCTAGTTTCACTGCGTAACTGAATTTATGACTGATTTAGTTCGAAAAGAGAGAGATTAGAATGTATACACAAGATGTGTTCCAACTATTTCAGGCTAGTCTCGATGCGTAGTTTACAATTTAATCGTCCATTTGAGTTTTTCGATGAGTAACGTAGTTTTAATGTCGATGCATATGCTAATGTTAAGAGTCGATGTCACTTATTTCTCGTTCAAGCATACTTGACTAACTAATGATGATTATAGCATTAAAATAGAAGATGATACCTACGGGTATGAGTCATGAAGTGATGTCATTGTTTGATTACTGTGATATATAAGCGTAAGTCCGCTCTATTCTTCTCTACAAATTATGGATTTTCGGCATCTCTTGAATGAATTCTGAAGTGGATTTTAAGATGATAACTCTGAGAAAAGGATTTTCCACACGTTGAACACTTGTAGGGCCTTTCACGAGTATGGATTCTTTTATGACGCGTTAAACTGTAGGATCGTGTGAAAACCTTAAGACATATATTACAGCGGTACGTTTTATTGCTTGTGCTACTTGCCAATTGAAAATATGGGAAACTTTCTTGAGTATGACGAACTTGTACGGGTGCGTATACCGGAGCAGGAAAAATATTTGGCAATTGATAGCAGTATGTGACAGGTAGCATATTTACTGCAAACTGCTGCGTGGCAATGGTATCAGAGGGAGCTGATGATGCTATTTGAGATGGGACAGATGATGCAAGGTTACCTTCAGCACTAACCTGTGTGTAATTCACATTATGCGCAACATTCCTGGCTAATGGATTTGACCCTCCTACATTTGATGACAAGACTGTTTTATAATTACTTAAATTGGTATCATTTGAAATTTTAATTGTTGTTCCTTGTGACGAATCTCGTGCACTTTCAACATCACTACCAATGGATGTGGTTGAACTTTCGAGTAATTCATTACTAGCATTTAATAATGTTGCTTCAGTTTCATCTGTAGGCGAGCTTAAGATACGTTTTACAGAAAAGCTGATCTTAGTGTTAGTCTTAGTAGTATTCATAGTTAATGTAGTATCCTTGTCTAAGTTCAAGCATAAAGTGTTACGATTGTTGATTCTGGATGATCGTTTCTGCTTTTCAAATGTACCTTCTGCTACCAATTGATTACTCCCAGATCGAGACGTGGTTAAAATTGCTACAGAGTCAATGTCGCTGCTATCGCTAGAAGATTCTCTAAATGATCCTTGGCGATGTTGTCTCTTATCGAGTCCTGAAGTAGGTAGTGAAGAAGTAATAGCTGCATTTTTTGCAGTTGGCAGCTCCATGTCGTCTCTGCTACAGCCTGCTACTGGACTATCACCTCTTAACAACGCAGACACGTTGCGGCTGGTTGTAATCTCACTATCATTGCTATCTTGCTTGATAATATTGCTTACGCATTTGTCACGGTTATTGCGTATGAAAGATGGAGTTAGGTTATCGTCTGATTGTGGAGTTCCAGATTGATTTCCGTCCCTTTCCAAAGGTTTATCGTTATAATAGATGTATCCCTTATTAGTCGACGATATACTGGTATGTCTTCGGAATTGGTGCAATTCTAATATAATTGCAGCATAAACAGCGATCATATTGGTACAATAAGAGGGCAATGATAAATCTTCGTCGGCGGAGTTGAAAATTTTGTGTAGAAATTCCGTCAACCAAAATGTCATCTGGGATATAATTTCATCTATAGCAAAATTAGTTTTGCCAGTATCAAATACTGTTGACTTTTTTGATGCCGGATGAACAGGCAAATCTCCAAGCATTTCCCAAATAATTTTAAGATGAGACTTAGATAATTGCCCATAGCTAGCTGTATTATCTCTGATAACTTGAAGCAATTTGCAAAATAATTTACTGATTGTGTATTGATCTCCACCTATTTTAATCTGTCGCAGTATATTGACTATATTTTCCATTTCGTTCAGTTGAAAAATCGAGACTTGTCAAATGTTCAAAATTCGTCACTGTTTGAACTGTAAATAAAAGTCAAGATTTTTAAATTACCTGGTAAACTACGTACTGTATTAGAGTTGCTGATCACTGGTAATTCATAATAATAATAATGATAATAATATGCGTCAAATTAACTTCGTATGTAATTCATATTATTAATTACCAGCATGCGCACGTCTCCTAGTCAATTAATTGTGAATGTTAGGGTTAGGGTTAGGGTACACGTACTGTACAGTGCAGTACAGTACAGTACAGTAGTGTACTGTACTTTCACAGCGTACTGTACACTGTACTGTACAGTACAGTATAGTCAAACAGTTTAGGGACCAAGAGAAAATTTTCTCTTAGTAGGTCCAGTACTGTACAGTAGGACTCCCTACCGGGTTTAAGCGACGTTCACAACGAAGTCGTGTGGCGTCCAGATGTCCTTTCGTCCGCCGCCAGAACATTGAAGGCTACAGTATGTACTGTAAAGTACGTACTGTGTGTATCAAAGTATTTTGTCACTTTGAAAAGCATCAACCAGTGATCTTAATGAGCAAATACTGATTAAGAGTTGTTACATTCCATAGCATTTATCATTCTATTATAGCTTTACTGTATTTTTAAAGAAAAATATTGCCCGAAAGTGACAAAATGTTATGGTACACAGTGTACTGCAAACTCTGGACAAAGCGGTCTTCATGATCTGGTCCGATCCGATCCGGACCCTGGTCTACGGGATGCAAAGATGGGCCTACAGTACTATATTTCTAGTACTGTAATCCTTGATCCTGTACTGTACAGTTTACAGTATGAACTGACTAACTGTGAGTCAAGTACTGCTCTACAGTACAGTACTATACCCGTACTTTACATAGTAAGAAACCAGGAATAAACAACAAAGTTGCCGTACTTTAATACCATATTTTGGACTATAAAATCTTCATTATCATCATATTTAGATTTATAATCAATTAATCATGATCTGGTATTACCGTATTATGATTCATGAATTATTAAATCGCGATGAATCTATACCGTAAACATAACATGCATCTTTGTAAATAGCGTATCTACTCGTATATCAATACATGCATGAAATTGTTTTAAACATGGAGAACTACAGTAGACGATCAAAGACTGATTTTTTTTCTTTAGCTATTTCTGTTTAGATTAACTACACAGTGGAAATAATCATCTCTAGACTAGGACACTTACTGTAAGTGTATTTAAAATTATACCTTGGCCCTCGGAATACTATACGTATAGTATTCCATTGTCACTTCCACACATTAAATTGACCAAGTACCAGTGAGTAAGGTCTATTTTACAACTGTTATTGGTAGTAATGGCGCCATTTATACTACTATACAGTACTATGAGCTTAATTATAGTGTTGAGATAAATGAGTATCAGTATTAAGTTATTACCGTGCTCACTCTATAGGAGTACTTGAACGATACTATGCTATCATTAGACAGAGTAAAATTGAAATCAATTGAAATCTATGTATCTTATTAGAGGTAAAGCGAGAAATGTCCCAGTGATGCAAACCCTTCCGTTCTATCAATAAAATGATTGTATATATATACTGTATACTGTACAATAGTATTGTTTAGTTTATACGTATATCCATATCACTGCATGAAGTAGCTGTTAAAATGACTTGGTTATACCAATAGAATAGAAAGAAGTTCTAATTTGAACTATCAGTCTAATAGCACTATCATCGAATAATCTCGGACACTTAAATCTTTTTGATCATGCGTAATGCATAGAAAGGAAATGAAAACAGTGGCCGACGACAAGGGGACATTGTCTAACTAGTAATCAAAGCACAATATAATAATATACAGTCTACATATGTGCTTTCATTGCATATATTATATCTAAGCCTAGAAATTGATAAGTCTATATACATATATTGTAAATTACTAAACTATTGACTATTATAATACAACATAATATAGCTACGGATCACTTTCTTACCTAAATTTATGTTTGAGAAATAATTTTTTCAGTCTTTGGTAGGCCCTAGTCTTGACTGCACGCTTAAGAGATAGGTTGGAATTTATTAAATGCCCGGATTATCCTACCATTTTATACGTTTAGATTTTGGTTATTGGTAACAACTAAGTAAATAAAAATAATAGGATAGAATCATAGCAACCAACTTCAACACTCTTACCACACGTCATCATTTCACATAATTGTAGGTATGTTGTGTATTTATGTCTGTAGCAATTCGTTATTCAGAAGCGAGTCATTCATTGGCATGTAAATCAAATTATTAACATTATCCTATGGATTGAATAATAGATTAAAATACTTTTTGCTTGTTGTCATAAGAATTGTAATATCATACATAGTAAAAAGTACACAGTCAAAATTTGGCAGTTAATTATGCTTTTAACAATACAAATGAATTAAAATAAGAGTTGTACAATAAACGCTAACGTTGCATCGCAACCCATGGACTGTATATACTAAAATTGTTTACAACTACTCACATTTACCGTAATTTTAAGTTTTTGTTGTAAACAAATTTACGAGCACTTCAAATTATTCCTGAAATACATGGATAATGATTTACAGTAATAATTCACAATGTAAATATAGCGTGTCATTCAAAAAGTAGATTTTATCATGTATGCTCCAATAACTGCTATTTAGTAGTATATAAACTGTGTTACCTCTTATAGGGATAGAAATCCTTATCATTAACAAATTGTACCTATTACAAGAGATATAATAAGCGATTCCATTTCATCACTATACCAGTTGTAGTAATATGCATCTGTTGGGTCATTATGGGTTTTAACTATGGCTTTGACTTCAGCTAGAATATGTTAATGAAATCGAATCAATCGTTTGTATACTGTACATAGTATATGAAAATTGAAATGTAAAATAGTGTATACACCGGAATATTGATTGACCTACAGTATATGCATGCTGATCTTTTTGTACAGGGTCTGTATGCTGACCACTTTAATTCATCATTAACATTTATCAACTGTAATGTAATCATTCTGCAGTTTTTACCTATTAGTAATCGGAAATAGACTCATTCAATATCTATTTATACTACAATACAATTGTAAAGCGCTGTAGGATAATTTATATCCGTGTACAAATTATCTATTTGACCTAGTCTACAATATTTGTCACTCAAGCGAAATGTACTCTTACGATTCTGTTCTTTAGCTTATGACAATTTTGTAGTATTTTAATTTCCTGATAAGTTTCTAATATTATCTACTTTAAAATTAGAATCTGACAAACTAAATATAGCCCTTAGTGTAATATTTCTTACTGGGAAGATTGCTGTCCGTATACAGATATTATAAGGCATTATTTAAAAATATTTTTATTCTTATACGTATATTAAAATAGTCATATTGTATCAAAATTTCATAGTAAAATATACGTATTTGAATGCGTATATAAATAAGTATATTGCATAAGATGCTAGGATATGACTTTTGCATATTCATGATCCTGGCGAGTGCCATACGCTTTGACCAAATACCCAACTCTCTACGACGTCATAGAGAAGGTTTCCATGATAA